AAAAAAAAAAAAAAAAAAAAGAAATCAGTCCCGAATGGTCAGGAAAAGCCAATCTTGCCATTTACAGTGCACAAAGCCACTGCACAACCCCCACCTGCTTCTCCACAATGCAGGGCCTCCTTCGCTGGTCCTATTATTTGAGGAGAGATGAAAAAAGACAGAACTTGTCTCCAGAGGCTTCTTCTCCTCTACTAGCTGAGACCAGAGGCAGCACTTGATGTAAAGCCCCTACAACAGGATGTGTGCCAGAACATGGCATGTGAAGGCATTTTGCTTGGCATGTCCACCTCGGGGCAGATGGCAGGGAAGGGGCCATGGCTGCACTGCCACAACAAGGATTGGGCCCCTTGAGGCTCCCTCGCCATCCACCTCTGGCTCACCAGTATCTTATAGGTTGAGGTTGCGGGGGTTTTTGGCACTCTGCCCAAAAACACTGCCAACCCCTGCCCTAGGATAAGGACCAAATGGTAGCTTGCTTAGTATCAAGAACCTGTATCTATAATTTGGATGCGTTATAAAAACTGATAGTTGCCTTAGAATTTCCCTCTAATACACCGGCAGATGATCTGTGAATTATCACCACCACCACGAGAGCACATGCAATCACTTCAAGCAAAGATCCACGAGGAACCCATAGTCCCATGTAGGAAGTGAATGACTGCCTTTCTTCCCCTGCAAACCTGCCTAAGGAAACCATTCCAAAAACTGTTCTGTCCCCCATTTTGCCAGACTTGGGTTCCAAAACTACCTTTTGGGAGATTAAATTAAATTCCTAGAAAGGGGCACTCAGCTGACCTGTAATGCCCCATTACATAAGATCTTAGGAGGCTTCTCCACAGAAGAGGTTTTCCTTGAAAGACCAAGTAGCAGCTTCAGTAAATGGTGGGATTTTCTCATCATTAAGTTAATGTGGAACAACACCCCAGATTTCAGCTACGTGAGAGAGAACAGGCACAGGGTGTTTTCAAGCAAGATAAATTCAGTTGAGTGTAGATGCAGGTTTTGTTATACCTTTTATGGAACAGATGGTACAGACCACACTACACCCTCCAAGCACACTCCAGGGAGTCCCATGCAGTATGTGTTTCACTACTCAGATGTCAGACTGCTGGTGTCATCATTTCATTCAGGGATTTGTGTCAAAAGTCTCTACACTCATATCTGTTTTATATAATATATGCACACACATTAAATCTTAAAGAATAAACAGTGGGTGGCTGGTATACAAGACAGAGCCCTCTCAAGCACTTCCAGGTCTCTGATTTACACTGGCACATTTACAGACCAAACCTTTCTAACCCAATTAAAATCTCATTTCAGCTGTCAATACAAATGTAGCCTGTTTTAGTTTAGTGGTCCCGAGAACATGCATTAGCCTGGAACTGTGGACAAACTAGATCTTCTGGACAAATCTACTAGCCTACTCTCTATCCCAAACTACTCACACATACATCACTTACAATTCTCCCTCCTCCCACATATAGAAACTCTTGCAATTGCCCTTAATAGTACCTGAGCGCCCTGCAAACTAAGAGGCACATCATTATCCTTCTGCAAGAGAGAACTTTTCTCCCCCAACTGAATTATTGATATTATTGTAGCTATAATAAGTATCAAGAAATACATGTACATAAATTTTGTTTCCAAATATCAGTCTGTTTCAGGTTCTGTCTATATGCAACATTGGTAAATATATGCAATTCATAGAGCAAAATTAATAAAATGATGACACCCCAAATCCCACCACAAAACTCTCAGCCTCTTCCTAGAAATAGATCCCATCCCCTTCCAAGAAAAGCTTAGTAGAACATAATCATAGGCCCTACACTGTCACTTGAAGGACAGCAGATTCAAGTTCTGGCAAGCTTACAGAAGGAACTGTCACCTTAGTTGGGAACTCTCATCAGGAAATTGAATTTTAGTCCTTCATCTGGCCTCATCCCTCACAATTTGACATTTGGGCAGACATGGGTTCCATGACAGCCAGGTTGCAACCCATTAAAGCTTTGCAGGTGCAAACCAACATCTTGAATAGCATCTAGTAAGAAACCAGTAATCCCATGTGGCAGAGAGCCCCAATATAACACACTATCCACATGGTAACACTGGAACACTGGTTAGCAAACTGGCTTCCATATCCCATATCACCCAGAGGCTCCAATAGGACTTAATGTAGCCTCATACAGCGGTAGTGAAGTCTCAAGCTGACAAATACATGGATCAGCGTGGTGAAATATTCATCCAAACACTGCCCTCCCAGTAGCCTCTTCTAGAAATGGCCTAAAAGACTCACTGGAAGCCCTTCAGAAGTCTCAAGTAAGTCAACAAACCTTTACTGTGCAGATGAATCTACTCATCCTCTATAAAACAAACAGAAGGGAAGAGACAGGGGCAAAAAAACAAAAAAAAACAAAAAAAACACTCACCACAAGCTCGGCAAACCTAGCATTGAGCTCCTCTGCTGATGGGATTGGAACAGAGAACTCCAGAAACTGGAGGGGGTTATTGTCCTTGAGGTTGATTTCAGGAAGGTCGCTGCCTCCAAAGCAACAAAGAAATCCCAGAGCATGACGATTCCTTTTCCGAGGAGCCATGATCATGTTGTGGGATGCTATCTACTGATCATGATCTGCAGAGAGAAGAGGAAGAAAAGCTGTTAAATGGGAAAGAGAAACTATACCAAAGAAAGTATTTGTTGTTATCATGTGTGTATAGGGTAGACAACAAAAATATATCTTACAAGCCACAGAGTTAAGAAAAAAAAAAAAAAAAAAAA